TCTTTTCTCTAACAGCTTTTAGTATTCTATTTTTATGTTGTATGTCTGGGAGTCTAATTATACATCTGGGTATAGATTTATGTTGGTTGTGACTGTTTGGCATTCTATATGCCTCGCTTATTTTTTCCCTATGTTTGGGGAATTTTCTTCTCTTACTTCTCTGAATAGTTTACCTATGTCTTTTGCGTTGACCCCTGCATCTTCATTGATGCCTATTAATCTTATATTATTTTTCTTGGCATCATCCTGAAGCTGCTATATTGTCATTTCATGTTGATTTGTTGTTTTTAAAAGTCCTACTCTTTCATGGTCACTGACTGATCCTGACCTCAAGGTCTGAAATTCTATCCTCAGCTTCATTTAAATGGTTTTGCCAGCTTTCAATAGAAGTTTTTGTTTCTCGGATATCTTTTGGAATGTTTCATAGATTCTGCTTGTTTTCTACATTGTTCATTCAAGGTTTCAATCAATTTCTCATGTTCCTGTATTTTTTTTTTTTTTTTATGTATTTCTTCCCTGGCTAGGCTGAACAGCTCCTTTACTAAGGTTGTTATTTCTGTCTTTACATGAGAAACTATTTCTAATTTGATTTCATCTATAGCATCATAAATTTGTTTCTTTATTTCACTTGCTATCTTTTTGGAGATTTCTGGGATATGACTTTTAAAGTCCTCTAGTTCAATGTCACCTGTACCTGCTCCTGATGAGCTAGATATTTGAGATTGCATTTTGTTTTGTCATTTTCACCCTTTGGGCAATTATTTGGCCTTCCAATCCCAACAGTCTCAACTGTTGATAGTGTGGATCTTAGGGCTCTACTGTGTGGTTAATGTTTGTCTGATTGCTGAGTACCACAGTGAAGAGGAGGGCCAGTAGCCTGAATTCCTCCTGCAGGGCCTGTTCAGTGAGTTCTATATTCTTCCTGGGCTGACTAGCCTAGGAGTGTTGATGTAGGTCAACTTTTAGTTCCTGCTGTTATCTTCAGGTTATTGCAGGTCACCAAATCTCCCTGTCTATAGTGTTTGTGTTGGCGGAGGCCCTACTGTGTCCCTATTGTGTGCCTGTGTGTCTCATAAGCCCTTTTGATTTTCTCCAAGTTGGCGGAGTCCTTATTGGCACACTCCTCACCCTGCCTGATGTTCTCTGTGTGCAGTGAGGAGTCACCCACACTCTTGCCAGACTCACCAAGGTCTTACAGTTAGTTGGAGGGAGCTTTACTACTGGCCCTATTTACCCACTGTACACCTCTATTTTAGGGGCATACTCACCACACTGACTGGAGCCTGCTGAGATCCTCTGTTTGGATGAGGCAGTTACTGAATCTCCCATCAAGCTAGCATGGCTAATCCACTGTAGTCCAAGGTTCTAGGAGGAAGGGTGGGAGCTGAAGATCAGCAGCAGTACTAGGTCCAAGAGGTAGGGAGTGTCCCCAAGGGGCCAGCAGGTGTCCTGAGTCTAGGCGTCCGTGGGGTGCACAGGAAGCGCAGTATGGCGGCATACATAGTCCTGGGCTGAGGGGTGGGCCAGTGGTGTTGGTCTGGGCATCCTTGGGATGCCTGGGGAAGCACGGTGCTGTGGTGTTAACTGACAAACATCTTACAAAATCAGAGTGCACTCAAATATATTTGGCCAATTTGAACTATAATAAACAGATTAGTGAAAATCTTTTTGTATGTTAATTAATAGAGATCTCTTGAAATAAGAATAGCAGAAAAGGGGCTGGGGATTTAGCTCAACGGCATAAGCACCTGTCTTGTAAGCAGGCAGTCATGAGTTTAATCCCTGGTACTGATAAAAAGGAAAAAGACAAAAAAAAAAAAAAAAAGAATAGCAGAAAAGGAACCTGGTTTATGGTTACTCTGAGACAAGTTGGTGAGGGAAAAAATAACATGAATATGAATAGTCCATTGGAACCAGCCTATTCCCAAAGGGGGAATAGGGACTGAGGCTGAGAAGGCTGTGGAGTGGGAGGTAAAGATGGCCACCAACCTGCCAACCACCCAGCAGGCATCTGTGGGCAATTACTGGGTGGTTGACCACAAAATGGCCACTCATCACCATGCAACAGGGAAACACAAGATGGTGACTGATTACCATGAGACCTACAGTAAGGTGGCTGCTGCCGGTGACATGGTGAGGGAGCACAAGATGATGACTGGTCATCATGTGATCTGCAACAAGATGGCTACTGCTGATCCCACGATGAGGGACCTCAACATGGCAGCCATTTACTCTGTGACCTGTTACAAGATGGTGGCACACTATCACATGGCAGAGGACTACAAGATGGTGGCTGTCTTCCATGTGAGCTGCAGCAATATGGCTGCTGAAGACCTTGTGGTATGGGATTGCAAGATGGCAGTCAAATACCATGTGGCCTGCTAGGTGGCTGAAATGCACAAGACCAGGTATGGTGAGCTGGCAGGGAAAATAGCGACCCAGGAGTAGGGGACAAAGAAGAAGAGCTGTCCGATGGAATTAGATGGAGGGGATGGAGAAATCTAAGACTGGGGAGAGAAACTAAGGGAAGGATTAGAGGACACTGGGGGTGAGGAAGGGGGAGAAGATGACACAGGAGGCACAGAAATCTCTGGCTAAGAAATCTGTGGGGTTTGGTCTGGGAGATACAGAGGAGGAGCCATAAAGACAGGAGATGCATCACCTAAGGGTCTGGTGGGGAGGAAGGGAGAGTTCCTAGTGCAGCAGAGGGAGCCAGAAGTATGTGGGCCATGATACAAGACAGAATGAGAGAAGGACATGTCTTTTAAATATAAAGCCTAAAAATGAGGGGTTTCGGCCAATTTGCCGCCATTGTGACAAAAGTATAAAAGATCAGCTTTTCGGTTATTACAGCCTTCTTGAGGCCAAGATCACCAAGGTTATGAACCAGGCACTTCAGAGGTGTGTTTTTCGGGGCACAGGAAGTGGCCCCCATGACCAAATTATAAGTGAGCTGAGAGAACAACTTCACCTTGGCACATAAGAGCTTTAGCTCTCCCCCAAGGAATGTGGAAGCTGTTCTGGATCACACCTATCAAAAAAAGTCATCACCTGTTTTGAAAGTGACATAGAAGATCCCAACACCTGCTCTCATCAGCCATCAATGAGAGTGAGGCAGGGTCCCAGAGAACAAGAGAGTACAGTTTTGCCTTGAGATGTCCTGCCCAAGGAACATGAAAACTGCTATCTCTGTCCAGGGACAGCAATGAGGCGAGCTTGCAAATTTTAGGAACAGAAACAGAAAACCCCAGATGGTAGCTCACCTGTGATGAGTGAGGAGGGTCAGTGTTGTATGTGGATTAGTGGCCATAAATAAACAGGTCCCAGAGGAAGGGAAGGTGATTCCTAGGCAGGGGAGCTCGAACTGGGAGTGACTCCAGGAGTTAGCACTCTGTCATCCAAGTCTCAAGCACCAAAATGTTAAGCGTTTTCTGGTGCACTAAAGGAGCAGAATATAAGAAAAAGTAAGAGTGGCCCTTTCATTTAAAGGATGTGAAGAGGAGCCCACAACCAGCAAGGGTTTAGCCTTCTCCTCTGCCCGGATATGGGGGTGTGGGTATATGTGACCTCTGACTGCATGTGGTGCTGGGGGCAGGCATTGATCACACGTGAGGAGCTGAGTGGAATTTTCTTTGCATGCACTGGGAAAGGAAGGAGGAAGTTGTGATGGGGGAAGAAGGAGGGAGTGGCCGTCAGGGTAAGCATCCCTGATTTGGCCTTCCACCACGTTGAACTACCACCATAATGGCCTGTGATTTATTTTAGGGCAAAACTCTTTCACGTGGGCTGGTCATGTGTGCACATGCTTTGTGACACAGGTACCATTTTTGGTACCTTTGTGACAGCCACCTATTTTTCTGCAAATTGTCTCACCTGCCTGGTAGGCAGTACAGGGCATTATCTGTGATATCCACAGGTCCAGCTCCCTGCAGTGTCCTTGCTAGGCTTTCTGGTCACCCTGTGGAACAAAATGTGCTGCTTGTCTACTGTCCATAATTCTTTCTCATGTGACTATTTCTTTTCTGCCACAGACATGCTTCTGACACCTTAGAAGTGATTAGGTCACCCTGCTCAAAACCCAGCAAGAGCTTCTCCTCTTAGAATAAAGTCCAAACTCCCTATGGTCATCACCAAACCCCTCTGAACTCGCAGGTCCTTCCCCCTCTGATGTCACCTCCTGCTGCTTTCTCTGTGGTTTGTTCTGCTCCAGCTACAGCAGGGGCCTCTTCACTGCCTCTCTGACACCTTACCTTGAGCCTGCCTCAGAGCCTTTGCACTGCCACTTTCCTCTCTGGAAACCCCTCCCCCCAGGTACCTACACAGACCCCTGTGCCATCTCCTAGGGGCCTGCTTGGATGTCCTCTGTCACGGGTGCCTTCCTGACTCCTTCATTTAAAACAATTTCTTGTCATCCCTTACTTGTCTCTCTTGTCCTGCTGTGTTTTGTCCTTAAGCACAGATCCTATGAGTTAGATAAAAATATTATAGGCAGTCAGACAGGGCCTCAAAGGAGCCATTGCAGCAGGCCAATCTTGCAACCCTGGAGGAGACAGACACCTCCCACTGTGGGTCAGACCTCAAGACAAAAGATCAAATAAGTATGCCCACATTCTAAGGATTGATAGTCTAAATAAGTCTCTATCACCCAGGAAGCCAGGAGTCACCATCCTAACCCCCACAGGAAGAGTTGGTGCTCTTTAAGCTGCCTGCGTGCTGTGCGACTGGCTTCCCCACTTATTCCTGATTTAACCGATTTTACCTGAGCGGTTAATCTTGTTGGTTGACTGTAGTTTTGTCCCACCTCATGCCTGCTGCCTGCCTGGCTCCTTGGACCCATCTTACTTCATGGTTTTGCTCTATGAAAGTCCCTAGAAAAGACAGAGTCTTTGGCAACCTGGGGACCCCTTCTTTCTCTCTCTCAGACAGATGCTTTTTTTCTCTCAATAAATATATTCTGCTCTTAACCTCTGTTGTTCCTAAAATTCATTCTTTGATTTTAGAGAACACAGCTCATACTGGACATATAGCAGGTTGGGAGTTTCATCTCTCTGTATCATTTGGAGGTCCCACCAAGATCATTGACGGAGGTGAGTTTGCTTTTGTTTCATAGACTCTGGACTAGGACTCGTTTAGGTATCAAATTTTTATGCTTCAAATTTTGCTTTTTCCTTTGCCCATTGCTTATAATTGCTTGTGATTTGTCTTTGCCTATTGTTTATAACTGCTTCATTTCTTGTATAGTTTTGTTAAAATAATGATAAGTCTAAGTTAAAACATGGGATGTTTAGAAGGTTTTGCTCTTGTACATGTTATATTTAAATTAGTTACTAAGTTTACTGGTACTCCTTGCTTGATTTTTTTTTTTGTCTTTTTTGTTTTTATCGGTACCAGGGATTGAACTCACAACTGCCTGCTTGCAAGGCAGGCGCTTATGCCGCTGAGCTAAATCCCCAGCCCCTTTGTTTGACTTTATTTAGACAACAGTGCTAGAGAGAATAATGTTAGAACACCTCTGGTAGACATTTAATATAAACTTCTGTGAAATGGGTTTTAAATAAAACCCAGGTCAGATTAAGAAATTATACATACCTATAGTATAACATGGGACTCATTCCGCCATTTAAACACCACTAGGCTGGTGGCCATTCTTAACTCTTGGAGGACAGGTTTCACTGAGATAGACTGGCTCTGAGCCTCCTCTACACTCTGGAGGAAATGTCAAGCCTATTCTGCTTTATTTTCTTTTCTTTGGCTTTATTTCTAATCATTTCCTCCAGTTTTTACTTTCTTTTTTAGAGGCATGTAAAATTAGAAAGAACTCTGGACTGTTGCAACCTTTTTCTCCTACTGTTAAGTCCTTAGCAAATGAGCATTTGCCAGTGCTGAAGACAGGGAAGCCATCTTAGATGAGGGATGCATACCCTGTCTCTGGGTCAGATGAGACATCGGAATTGTGCCTGTCCAGGAGAACACACATAAAAGCCATGTCCCGGCTCAGTGTTCTGGGTAAGTCTCCCTTGGGAGACTAAAGCTGAGACACAGTGGAAAGAACTGACTTCTGGGTGAAACCTGAAGGAGCTATTTCCAAAAGCAGCACACTTATGGAACCAAAACACATTTACACTAAGGAAAGACTCTCCAACCTTTCAAGCTGTGGGTTTAAAATGTTTAGTGTAAACTTATGAAGTGCTAGGTAATGATTTTTCTCAGGCTTTTAAATGTCCCTGAGAGAACTTTGACAGTGGTTAACCTGCCAGCTAATTAATCACTCCCAAAACAGCTGCCACTCTTAAAAGCAGAAGGCAGGTTTCCCCAGCATCTCTTTGGTGAATCCCCACTGAAGCCAGTAGCCAGTAGAATGTTGATCAGACAGACAGCTGGATTCTTTTTTGGAGACTGATCTCTGCTTATCTGGGCCAATAGAAACTGAGAACAACCAAGGATTCTTGACCTCAGCTGGGTGTCCTCACCCTCTAGTGGACACCCAAAGACTCTTCAGTGGATACTCGCTCATGACCACAGAAAATCTCTGCTTACTATCCACTTATGTCTCTCTGCTAGTAAACTAAAAGACGTTCCCTGAACTTTTCAGGCAGTTAGACTACCTCTCTCAGAAATTAGGCTGAGGCAGCCTGCAACAGCTGTTTATATTTCAAAGAAACTAGTAGGGAATGATTTGCAGGTGTGTCTTACATATGTTAACTAAGAGAAAAAGAGATTTCCATCAACCTTTGCTGTGTGCATAAAAGACTGATGTGCCTTTACTAAAAGGTAAAATGTAACTGATAGATGATAAATATGTTTAACCTATGAGCTTTAAATAAAGGATAGCCATGTCCCATTGCTGGGAAAGAGTGCCTAGGTAATTAGAGGGCACAAAAGGCCTTGGAGGCTTTGTCCGGGGGCCCAGGGTTTATTTGTTATCCTTATCTACTTCTGGGGCAATCTCCTTCATAGAGCAGCCAGAGAAGAGCTCTAACGCATGTTTTTGTAATAAAAAGCAATTGTTTATTAAAAAGTTATGCTTCCTTCTTTAAGCATTTCTGTCACAGGTGGGCTTATGGAAACAAACTTCATGAACTAACTCGGAAGATAAGATTGTATCAGTCTGCAGGTGGATAGGCTGGTTGAATTTATCTTTTACTCTCTTCTGATGGCATCCACCTGCTCTGGAGTGGAGTCAACGAGGGACACCTTGAGGACATTATCAACTAGGAATAAGAAAGGGATGCCTAATTATTTCCTTTTTGCATAGATAGATAGCTCATTGTCAAAATTTCATGCATGAGAGGGCTAAAGTCATAGCTCAGTGAATGTCCTGAGTTTGATTCCTGGTACTGAAAAAAAGTTTCACACCCTTTCAAGTTGCTTTTTACATTACAGACATGGGCAACTCAATGCCGAAGCCCCTTAGTCCTTCGGAAGGCATTCTTAAGCACTGGAAGATGTTTGACTCTTCCATGTTAAAAAAAAAAAAAGCCGTTTGATATTTTTCTGCACATGTGCATAGCTTACCCACCTCCAGAGCCAAAATGAAATGCAGAGGGAGGTATTAATTATGATGTTCTTTTACATACTGTAAGAAAGACGAAAAATGGTCAGAATCGCTTTATGTTCAGACTTTCTTTATATTGAGATAATTCTTATTTATGCTCAAGGTATAATTATAATTCTTATGAGACTATCCCAATTCATAGGTCTCTTTCTCTCAGTGGCTTAAAACAAATTAAGCTAGAACTAGGAAAACTTTCAGATGACCCTGATAAGTACATGGATGTCTTTAGAGGATTTACTTGGACCTACAAGCTAGGCTGCAAAGATGGAATGTTAATCTTAAATCAAACATTGACTTCTAATGAGAGACAGGCAGCATTCCAAGCTGCTATTGCATTTATAGATGGATATCATTGTTAATTTTATTGTTTTGGTACTAGGGATTGAACTCATGACCTTGTGCTTACCAGGGGACACTTGAACCACTGAGCTAAATCCCCAGCCCCATCTATTGTTAATTTTAAAAAGTCAGAAGATCAATAGCCAGGGGAACTACCAATTCCCACCCAAGACTTCAACTGGCCTGACAAGGCAGGAGATTGGAGCAAGAGACATTTTCAAGTGTACATTCTTGAAGGTCTAAGAAGGACTAAAACCAGGCCTTCTAGTGATTTTAAATTGTCAGCTATTTTTCAGGAGAAAGATGAAAACCTCTCTGACTTCTTAGCTCGTTTATAAGAGGCATTAATAAAACATAGTTCCTTAGATCCTGATTCAATAGAGGGACAGACTATCCTTAAAGACAAGTTTATTACCCAGTGAGCCTCGGATATTAGAAAAAAGCTACTAAAGATGGCTTTTGCTCCAGATAGTTCACTTGATACTTTTTGGTAAAAATGACCTCCGCAGTACTTTATAACCATGATGAAGAAGAGGCAAAGAGAGAAAATGAAGAGACCAGGAAACAGCAGCTGCCTTGCTGCAGCATCAAGAGAAACAGACCCCAAGTCTGACTCCCGGGGCCCCAAGAAGAACTCAAAGGCTACCCCGACCTGCTATTGCTGCCCAAGCCGGGCTACCTCAAGAGGGACTGCCCCCAAATTTCCCCTTATGTTGGAAACAGAAGAATCACTCATTCTCACTGGCCTAACTCCACTAAATACTTGGGGTGGACACCACCCCGCAAGCAGTGTCTACACACAGTTACTTTACAGGCTGATGACTGGTTGGCAACCGACTGGTTTAATTGCCCTGGCATTACATGGGGAGGCTTCAGGGGCACTCACTGGTTTTGTGGGACCAACCTGTGACCCTGGCTGCCCCCTGGATGGATAGGAAGATGCACATTAGGGTTCACATGGTTACAAGGCAGGAGTGTCAAAAATATCGACAAACTTGAGAATTTACCCCACCTACAACCCTGGTGGTCCAGAGTGTGTCCCCGCGGTATGATCACGTAGGCCCTCTTTATCCCTTCCCTAGGGTGAGAAGATGTCATGAAACATATTGAGGCCTTAACTAACTATACTCAGCAGGCCTTAAATGATACTGCAGCTTTTCTCTTAAATGAAGAAGTAAAATTAATGAGGCAGGCTGTCCTCCGTAATCAGATGGCTTTAGATATCCTAACAGCAGCGCAGGGGTGTATTTGTGCAGCTGTAAAAACTGAATGTTGTGTGTACATTCTCCATCCTTTGCTAATAGCTCAGTAGCTGTTCAAGATGTTAGACGGCAAATCAGTGATGTGTCAGACTCTAAAACTCCCTAGACATTACCCTTATTCTCCCTATGGGAAGCCATTACTAGCTCCTCATGGTAAAAATCTTTGTTAACTGTACTCGTAATTATCCTATTTTATTATTTGGCCCATGCATACTTAATTGTTTGCTTGCCTGGTCTCCTCCAGACTTAAAGCTATATGCATACCCAAGATAAAAATGCCTGGTATTATCAAGGGCCTTTAGATAGACCCTCTGCAGAGTATCCCTGGTGCCAACCAACACATACGACCCCCTTCAGCCTGCAGAAGCCAGATTGGTCATCGCCCATTACTCCCTCCTGGCAGTTTGGGTTACTTCTTCAGAGGGGGGATTGTTATAGGCAGCTGAGTTAGATAAAAATATTGTACACAGGCCCTCAAGAAAGCCAGCATAGAGGACCAGATATCTTGTAACCTTGGAGGAGACAGACACGTCTTGCTGTGGGCCAGGTTTCAAAACAAAAGATAAACATCAGGGATTGATGTTCTGAATAGGTATGGATCACCTTGAGGAAGTCAGGAGCCACCATCCCAGGCCCCTCCAGGAAGAGTCACTGTTCTTTAAGCTGCCTGCTTCCTATGCGGCTCACTTCCCCATTACTTCCCAAGTGAAGCACTTTTACCAGAGCGATTAATCTTACTGGTTGACCATAGTTCTGTCCCATCTGGTGCCCACCTGCCTGTGTTCCCCACCTTAGACCTGCTTCACTTTGGGTTTTGCTCTATAAAAGTCCCTAGAAAAGACGAGAGTCTTTGGCAACCCACTCAGGACCCCTTCTGTCCCTCTTGGACAGAAGCTTTTTTTCCCTCTCAATAAATATATTTTGTTCTTAACTTCCATTGTTCCTAAAATTCATTCGCCGATTTTAGAGAAGGTGAACTCATACCAGATACAGAGCAGGTTGGAGTTTCGTTCTCCTATATCCCAGGGTCTCCAGCCCCCTGGATGGCGTCCAGGCTGGCAGCGGGTAGTTAGTTAACATTTGTGAGCTGAGTGAATGAATTCTGGCCGTGACATGTGTGCATGCCTGAGATATGTGCTGATACTTGTGGGTATCATCCATACACACTCTCTCTGGGGAGCCCATAGATTCTGAGGTTCTGCTAGCTGGCTGTTGCCTGTCTGGGCCCCTCAGTCCTGATAGAAAGGCCCCAGGGGCCACATCATCTGGAAGTCCCCACAGTGAAAGGCACACAGAACAGTTCAAGAAACTGGCTCCCCAAAGTCTTCCCTTTTTTCTGAGGAATTTTTCTTTCGGCATGTGCTGACGTAGACAGAATGATACCACAAACCGTCACAAGATGTGCAGAAACAAACTATGACAAATATCACTGAACTGTCTGTTTTGCTTCCATGGTCCCGTCTTGTTCCTTTTTTTAGGAGTTGCTACTCTGCTGAATTGGCATTTGTGATGCCCAAGCATATGATTTATTTGCATATGTAAATGTAAACTGCAGTACATTCCGTGACTCACTGGTGTTCCATAAAATTGAAACATTAAATGAATAAATTCAGAACCTCTGTTCCCAGGAAAAATACATACGCACCTGTGTCTTATCTCAATAATAATCCCCAAAACGATTCATTCTGGTAGATTCTATTTTTTTTATTTTACAGAAGAGTGTTAACAGATGTCTCCAGGCATGGTGGCAGATGTCTATCATCCCAGCACTCAGGAGGCTGAGGCAGAAGGATTTCCATGATAAGGGCTGGGCTCCACGGAAAGACCTGTCTCAAAAAAAAGAGGTGTGAAGTGACTTAGTTGAGGCCACCTCCTTACCGGGACCAGAGGTGCCTCTCCAACCCTCTGTGTGCCTCTCTGTCTCCATTCCCTGGTCCACTTTGAATGAAGTTGGAAGACAAATACGAGGCCGGGCTGGGCCTTGTCTGACTGCACCTGGATATGGGCATCTTGTCCAACTCTGAGTTTCACCACTCTGTGCTGGCCTCTGAACACGTGTGGAAGCTCTGCAAGAGTTGATTTGGGTTTACAAATAATTTTAGTAAATAGAATTAATTAGCAAATGCAGAATCTACAAAGGGTGAGGACTGATTATGTAAATAACTTTGCATTTCCTGTACAGTGAATTCCTATACCATTTGTCAGGTTTTTGAAACTATTTAGAGACAGTGTAGCATTGGCTATATGAATCCTTTTGTGAGTAGCTTCCTGCTGCTCCTCATAATTGGCAGTGCAGATGTGGGTCATTTTCATTACTGTAGAGCATTAGCTAGAGTTTACTGTGCACTTGTGTGTTAGACACAAAGGCTTTATATGTCACATCTAATTGAAGGCTTGAGGCCACCCAGTCAGAGGACACTGTGCGCTCCTCCTCCTCCTTCTCATCCCCTCCTCTTCCTTTTTCTTCTGGGGCTGGCTAGGCGAACGCTTTACCATTAAGCTACACCCCTAACCTGGGGGTACTACTGTTATTCCATTCGACAGGAAGAAACTGAGGCATGGAACAGTGAAATGCATTGCCTTAAGTCCTTATGGAATGGTTAGTGAAGGGATGAGTGATGGAATCAACCTAAACTATCGTCAACTGAATGGTAGGGAAAACGAGGCACTTAATTCTCACTTTGGATGGATCTATGAACAGTTGTAGGGAAACTTTCAGGGAGGGGCAGGCTCGGGTCTTCAAGGGAGCCCCCGCCCCGTTGGAAGAGCAGGCCGGCTGTGTGGAGCACTGGAACTGTCAGGGTGTGGAATACCAGCTGTCACTGGGTGAGCCATGGCAGGCCCAGAGGAACAGTGTAGCTGGGCTGCAGGGCTCCTAGGAGCTCCTGGGTACAGTCTGAGTTTGAGAGGGGAGATTTTGCCTTCCTTCCCTGGTCCTCCTCCTCACTACATGAACAAGGTAAGAAGCTCTGACTTCCTCTGGGAACTTCAGGGTCTACTTTCAACTCCCTCTCCTGTGTAAATCTGTCAGGACTGCTTGCATGCAGGTCATAAGAAACCCAACTTAACTAACCTGATTTAAAAAAATGTGTGGGGGCTGGGGATTTAGCTTAGCGGCATAAGCGCCTGCCTTGCAAGCAGGCAGTCGTGAGTTCGATCCCTGGTACTAATAAAAAAAAAAAGATATATAAAAAAAAGTGTGGCTTGTGTAACTAAAATTTCAAGATCCTTCATGGCTGGATCCTGGGGTTCAAGCAACGTTACCTAGAATTTTCATTTCTCTGCTTTTTTTTGGGTTGGCCTCATTCTCCACAGGCATACTCTCCCCGCTGCTGGTCTTTGATAGCTCCAGGTTTCCCTTCAACCAGTCTAGAAAGTTGGAAGAGGAGGTTTTTCTTCCTAGTTTCCAGCCAGTGTCGTAGAATGAAGCCTCAGGGATTTGACAAAGGTCATGTGTCCTCTGCAGACCAATCAAAACGTCTAGGGAAGTGATTATTCTGATTGGCCAAGTCTGGGGCACGTGACCCTGGGAAGCTGGAGGGGTGGCCCCGCCCCTCCCAAAGAGAGCAGGGGAGAGGTGCTTTCCAAGGAGAAGTTGGGTGCTGGGCAGGAAAAACAACAGATGCCCCCCACATCACATGCTCTGACATTAAAAGTATTTTTATACCAATACAAGAAATAGTGATGGGGCCAGGGATATAGCTCAGTGACACAGCGTCTGCCTGGCAAATGCAAGGTCCTGAGTTCGATTTCCAGCACCCTCCCTCCTGGCAAAATAATGATGGCCATTTTATAGAATTAAGAATGAAAGGAGGGCCGCAATTTAGCTCAGTGTCCTGCTTGGCAAGCGCGAGGTTGTTTGATCTCCGGTACAAAAAACAAAACAACGTCTCCCTCCAACAAAAAGCCAGAAAGAAAGTAATTTTGCAGGAGAGTGAAAGCGATCTTGCTAAGTGGGAGGAGAACAAGTCATGCGGCTAAATTGTCCCCTTCCAACCTTTCCTCATACCAGTGTGGCTGGGCATCACTGGGAACGCAGACCTTACCTTGCTGTCGCCCTGCTGCTTTAAATTCTTTGGAGCTGCCCATCCCCCTCCAGTGGAGCCCAGTTCCTTCGGGGACTCCTGAGCTCCAGGTACTCGGGCTCTTGCTTCCTGTGACCTCCCTAGGGTTGTGTTTTAAGGGACCTTTCCGATGAGGTGGGGGAGGCGGGCCTAGCCGAAAGGGGTCAGAGGGTAGCAGAGTGCGGGGAGTGGAGCGGTGACAGCTGTGGAGCAGGCAGGGGAGGACTAGAGGCCAGTGTTATTGCTCTCACTATATAGAAGGAGAAGCTGAGGCTCAGGGAGGCTACAAAACGTGTCCAAAACACATGGCTTAATGAACAGCCGAGCCAGGATCTCCCCAACCCCGGCCCCACCCTATATCATCCAGCTGGGATCGCTGGCCAGAGTTCAATCCCCAGGATGAGGGTGGAGCCGCTAGGTGTCCTCTCACCACCACCATCATGTGCCTCAAAGGAAGACAATGACAACCACAAAAACCAAACCTGAAACAAACAAACAAACAAACAAAAATAGCAGAGAAAGGAGTTTTGGGAGGCCCTGGTGTTCCTCTAGGCCATGAGTGTTAGTTTGTTTATTTATTTTTTTGTACCAGGGATTGAACTCATGACCTCACACTTGCCCAGCAGGCACTTATATCGCTTAGTTAAATACCCAACCCTATGAACGCTGGTTTAATACCACATCTAGTTCAGCTCAGCTGCACAGAGAATGGAGAAAGGTAAGGATGTCCCTTGGCTTTTTAAAAATCTTCCTGAGAAATCACTAACTTCTTGTGATTGGATAGATTCCCTCTGTTGGATCTAGGAAGGAGGAGACTTAGAAATTGGTCCAACAAAATAATGTTACTCATTTATTCACCCACCCAGAGGATACTTTCCTGCAGTATCTACTTCCTCCCATCCTCCCACCTTCCTATCCATTCACTTGTTGTCCATCCAGAAGTTTTCCTAGCCACCTTTATAATCCTTTCTTCCGGCCTTCATCTACCCATAATCCATCCATCCATCCATTGATGGACTTTATCACCCATTCAAACCCTGTTTCTTTTAAGACTCTCTTGGCAGCAGACCATACCCCTATCCTTGCTCCCAATCCTGGGTACAGGACACTTACAAGGGTACCTACCCTGTTCCCAGATATCACATGCTTCTTAGAGCTGCCATGTAAGTGACTCAGACACCGGGGGTCATAGCCCTGGTGTCCCTATGGGGCCATACACAGAGATGGGGACTACCTATCTCTATTTTCTTGACCCACAGCCCCTGCTCTGATAACCACAGGCAGCTATGGGAAGGAGCAGGGAAAGTAGGGAGTCCCTGAGGAGCGGGACCAGGAGGGCAAGTGGAAGCCAATGAGCCCAAAGTGAAACTCAGATCCGTAAGCATGTGTCTTTGAACTAAATCTAGCATCAGGTTTGTGTTAGTTTTCTGAGGAATCTCCATAGTCGTTGTACTAGCTTATAAAGTTCTCACATTTTCAACATTTATTGAGTGCCTGCCATGTGACAGGCACTGTGCTAAGTATTGGGGCTGAGGCAAGGGAACAAAAGGCACAAATAATACTTGTCCTCATCAGAAGGACATTCTAGTAGGAGAAGAGAGACATGAATGCATGAATCACATGCCCGATGCTGTCGGGTTGATACTGCTGAGTACTGTGGAGAAAACTAAACTAGGGAAGGGATGGAGATGGGAGGGACATCCTCACCAATAAGGTGACATCTGAGTTAAGAGCTGGAGGAAGAGCACGTCTGGAAGTGAGAAGGGTTAGTGCCAAAGTCAGGAGTCAGGGCAGGCTCAGCGTGTCCAGGGAGGCTGGACCTGGACAGCCGGGCCAGTGGGAGAACTGAGATCAGCAAGGTGAGGGGCAGGCAGGCTAGGGAAGGAGACGGGCACTTTCTCTCATGAGATGGGAGGCATGTAGGGTTTTGAGCAGCAGAGGGAATGACGTGATTTAACTGGGTCTTTACAGCAGCCCTTTGGATGCTATTTGAGATCAGATTGCAAAGAGGCAAGGGAGGAGTCAGGGAGAGACCAATAAAAGTCGTCTGGAGCAGAGTGGTGGGGGCCCTGTGACCCTGTGAGGGGTGTGGGACAGAGATTAGCTTGTTATGGGACAATGGTGATGAGACCAGGCATCCAGGATAACACCTGGCATGTGGTGGTCTTCACCAATATCAGGGGGGAAAGAATCAAGTCTAAATAAAGGCCAGAGCAGGGGCAATGTCATCAGAACTCTTTTGCTCGCTAGAGACAGAATCTCAGTTCAGATGGTTCAAGGAGAATTATTGGTTTAGGCCACAGGAAGGAACTTTTGAAATAGTGCGATTTCAAGCACAGTGTCGTGTGCCTCTAACGATGTGGACACTCGCTCTTATTCTCTTGTGCTTTCTTTCTCTTATTGTCTCTAGGGGTTGGCTTCATTCTGAAGCAGGCTTTCTTCCGGAATTGGCCGAGATGGTTCCTTCGGGACATCGTGGAGATAAGCAGCCTACATCCACCTCCTCTCTAGTCTCAGTGTGTCATTTCAGGGGGAGACTCTCATTGGTTCTGCTTGTATCCAAGGCTCCAATCCCTGAACCAATCACTGTGGCCAGGAAGACAGAGAGCTCTGATTGGTCAATCATCCTACCCATCTCTGGTGTGAGAGCCAGGGCCAGGTACCTGGGTAATTGCTCCCGGCTAAGAACTGGTTCTGTCCTAGGACTTATGGTTAGGCGAGCCTTCCTCCGATAAACCGCCACCAGAGGGAGAGAAAGTGTGTTGCAAAGACAGTCCCAGGCCTCGTGGCTCCTGGGAGGGGGCTGGCTTCTCAGGAGCTACCAGGAGTAGCTCAGACAGGCCGCAAGGAACATCTGGGCTGTCTAGAAATCTGAGGGCTTCTCAGGGCTCCCCGAGGCTGTAGCCACCAGGGGGCAGCAGTCACACACAGTCACCCTTGCTCTTGGCAAGCATCATCTCCAGCCGGGGGTGCTGTTCACCGCTGCTGCAGTTGACAAACTTGGACACAAGTAAAATTTTGGCAGATTGGGTCTTAGTTTAAATATGAATGGGGAGTTTCTCTTAAATAATTCGCATGGAAAATGTTTTCTATAAAAAAGACTTTTGTAGGATGCGGAGCAGTGTTTTTAAGGATATCAAGTGGTTGATGTTAGTTTGGGTGGTCTTGGGGCACTACCCTCCCTGGTTTCATGACTGGGCAAGTGCTCTCTGTTCCTTGGTTTCCTGCTGTAAATTGGGGCAGCCTTGTCTTGTTCCCTGTTCTACTGGACCAAATGATTTTCTCAACAGGTTTGAGTGAGTCAGGTATTCTAGGAGTTACAGAAGAGTAAACAAACCCAACTCTCTGCCTTTATGGAGCTGGTGTTCTAAAGGCAGAGACAAATGGGAAACTGCAAGTCCAGACTTTTGGGTAAAGCTCTTAGAACACGGCCTGCCTGGCACACGGTAACACCTGTGAATTGAGTTGCCTGAGAGACTTCTGTAGTGGGGAAATTGTGCTAATCTGGGCCTACACAGATGCTCACAGTAGGTGCTCCACAAATGCTCACAGCTGTCTCCTTGTGTGGCTACAGGTCTTGTGTCCCCTTCTGGCTGGGCTCCATTCCAGGAAGCTGCAGGCAGATGAGGGCTCCTCATGCCCAGGGGATGAACTATCTGACCTGGGGCCACACGGTCTGTGTGTGGTATGAGTGGTCTGCCCAGGAACCCAAGAGCCGGTGCTGCTCCGGGGACGCCAATGGAGTCAGAGGGTGAATATGGGACTCTGGCCTAGGCACATGTGGCTGCAGATCATGGGGCTTCCCTGACATCTGACAAGGTACTGGAAGAGGCCGCTCTGGCCAGGGTGGGCTCAGCAGGGTCTGGTCCCTGTATCTGAGGAGATCAGCCAGTTAGGAGTCAGTTCCAGCTGTGTGAACTCGGGTACATCTCATAACACCTCTGCACCCCAAGTCCTTATCTGAGAGTACAGTTAGTAAGGGGCGCTCTTCATGAGGCCATGGTGAGGGGCAGGTGAGATTGTGCAGGTCACTGACTAAGCTTAGGCCTGGCTTTCAGAAAGCACTCCAGAAAAGGGAGCTAGCTTTGCTGCTTGACCTCAGGAATCTCTTAAAAGCCAAATTTGGTGAATGTCAGTTTATAGATGGAGAAACAAACTCAGAGAGACAGTGTGTCTTAATCAAGGTCATATGGCAGGAGCTGACCCAGATTTGGCTTACATCAGTCCCTCTCCCCCTGCCTCCCCCCATACTTCACATATTAATTATAATAGCTGACATTTATTGAGTGCTTCCTATGAGCCAGGAATTACCTTGAGCTCTTTAGATTCATTCATTCATTCTTTCACTCATTCACCCATCCAATAA